GGAAGTCCTTTAAACAAGGGATGTGTCAGATATACTTACATTATTAACGGAAAGCAGAAACAATAGTATGGCGCGATATAGTCGGAATGCCCTCCCCAAAAGTAGCAACGCCTCGAGGAGTCCAAAACTACGCATTTAACCAGAGCGAATTAGAAAGCCATACACCCAGAAGAGGACACAAAATGAAGTGGAGAGTTGACAAGTTTACACGGAAGATTGGACGGCTTCCTCATAGTAAAGCCGTGAGAGCTTGCAGAGCTTGCCTGCAAGTCGAGCATTATCCGTGTCTGCACCCATAAGACCCATGGATATTAAAGTCACTGCCACGACCGACAGACCTTGTCTTCCAAAAATGATATAATTTAGGTATGCAGATATTGTACAGAAAACGAATACCTGTACAGCTTCCGCATCCGCATCACCTCCGAGTCTCCTTTGCACTCACGCCCATCACCTGTTAAGAATATCTAACCAGGAACAGGTGGACGAGAAATAGTTTACAAGGGAATATAGAAGAAGAGGGTTAGAGTGGCTTATTCTGGACTCCAGCGTATGCAAGGCCTCTGCAGACTACTGCTCCAATTCGAACGTTTGAATCTGCTTCAATGACGCAATCTCATGGAAGTGGCGATGCCTATAGAAGACAAGGGGAGTATTAGAAAATTAAAAGATGTTACAACCACAAAAAATGGCAATAAAGCAAGAGAAGACCTTATAAAAAGTACCAACAAGTATAACCAATGGTGGCTTACCCTATGGCATTCATTCTGATACAGCAGTTGACAATCCGAACCCATTAGAACGTTCCTGCAATGACAAGGCAGAAATTGCATTAGCAGAATTTATTAATTTGTGAAAAACCAAACCAACTTTGCAGGACAAAATCTTATGCCTCAATAACAAAGGTACGAACATCGAGTGCGGTTTTGAAAGCCCTTACCTCTAATTACAGGTCCGAAGGGAGAAGGAAAAGGGATACCAACCTYGCTGCAACATAATCGCTATCATTGTTCATGTTCTTGATGGGGCTGTCAACGGTTCAGGTCTACCTGGGTGGACCGAATTGACCCAACCATTTATAAAGGATCTGGTTCCATGATTATGAGGAAATAAATAATTGGGTCGGTTCCGGTACTCGCCCCTCCCAAATCGATTCACGCCCAAAACCGATTATTTTGTTAACCATATATATTACTTCCTTCGTTTTCTTACAGTTTCTCTCTTATCATAGGTTTAAAGTGTCGAGTCTCATAGATAGATAGATAAATAAAGGTGTCTGATGTTTTAACATATAAGTAATTTAGTATTTTTCTATCAATTTTATTAACGATATATGGTTAAACTTTAAATTTTAGTTTGCGATTTAAATAAGAAAAGTGGTGTTTTTTAGCTTAAATGGATCGGCTTTAAACCTATGTTTTTGTTTCAACGTAAATTTTAAGTTAAAATTGACGGTTTTGGGTCTAACGTTTCATTCCAATTAATGATCTACTCGGGAGTGCTTCTACCTAGACCAGACCCAGATCCCACCCGTTGACAGCCCTATCTTGAATGGCGGCCAATTTCCGGTCGAGCCACCAGTCAAAATAGGAAGAGAAATAGTTAGTCACTTATCTGAAGGAATTAAAAGAAAATAGAAGTCCTTTAAGCAAGGGATGTGTCAGATATACTTACATTATTAACGGAAAGGGGAAACAATAGTATGGCGCGATATAGTCGGAAAGCCCTCCCCAAAAGTAACAACGCCTCGAGGAGTCCAAAACTACGCATTTAACCAGAGCGAATTAGAAAGCCATACACCCAGAAGAGGACACAGAATGAAATGGAGAGTTGASATGCTTACACGGAAGATTGGACCAGCTTCCTCATAGTAATGCCGTGAGAGATTGCCAGCAAGTCGAGCATTCTCTGTGCCTGCACCCATAAGACCCAAGGATATTATAGCCACTGCAACGACCGACAAACCTTGTCTTCCAAAAATGATATTATTTAGGTATGCAGACATTGTACAAAAAATGCATACCTGTACTGCTTCCGCATCCGCATCGCTTCCAAGTCTCCTTTGCGCTCACGCCCTTCACCTGTCAAAAATATCTAATCAGGAACAGGTGGACGAGAAATAGTATACAAGTCGATATAGAAGAAGAAAGTTAGAGTGGCTTATTCGGTACTCCAGCTATGGAAGGCCTCGGCAGACTAATGCTCCAATTCAAACATTTGAATCTGCTCCAGYGACGCAATCTCATGGAAGTGGCGATGCCTGTAGAAGCCAAGGGGAGTATTAGAAAATTAAAATATGTTACAACCACAAAAAACGACAATAAAGCAAGAGAAGCCCTTATAAAAAGTACCAACAGATATAACCAATGGTGGCTTACCCTATGAAGTTGAGAGTTGAGAAGCTTTCAAGAAAGATTGGACCAGCTTCCTCAAAGTAAAGCCATGAGAACTTGCCTACAAGTCGAGCATTCTCCGTGCCTGCACCCATAAGACCCAAGGATATTATAACCACTGCCACGATTGACAAACCTTGTTTTCCAAAAATGATATAATTTAGGTATGCTGACATTGTACAAAAAACGCCTACCTGTACAGCATCCACATCCGTATCGCTTCTGAGTCTCCTTTGCGCTCACGCCCTTCACCTGTCAAACTTATCTAATCAGGAACAAGTGGACAAGAAATAATATACAAGTCAATATAGAAGAAGATGGTTAGAGTGGCTTATTCTGTACTCCAGCGTATGGAAGGCCTCGGCGGACTAATGCTTCAATTCGAACATTTGAATCTGCTCCAGTGACGCAATCTCATGGAAGTGGCGATGCCTGTAGAAGCCAAGGGGAGTATTAGAAAATTAAAGGATGTTACAACAACAAAAAACGACAATAAAGCAAGAGAAGCCCATTTAAAAAGTACCAACAGATATAACCAATGGTGGCTTACCCTATGGCAGTCATTCTGATACGGCAGTTGACAATCCAAACCCACTAGAACGTTCCTACAATGACAAGGTAGAAATTGCATTAGCAGAATTTATTAATTAGTGAAAATACAGAACGAACATCGCAAGACAAAATCTTATGCCCCAATAACATAGCTACGAACATCGAGTGTGGTTTTGAATGGTCCTTACCTCGAAGTACAGGTCCGAAGGGAGAAGGAAAAGGGATACCAACCTTGCTGCAGCACAATCGCCATCATCGTTCATGTTCTTGAAGGGGCTGTCAACGGTTCAGGTCTACCCGGCTGGCCCGAATCGACCAAACCATTTATAAAAGATCCGGCTCCTTGATTTTGCAGAAATAAATAATTGGGTCGGTTCCGGTACTCGCCCCTCCCGAATCGATTATTCCAAAATCTGATTATTTTGTTAACCATATATATTATTTCCTTCGTTTTCTTACAGTTTCTCTCTTATCGTAGGTTTAAAGTGTCAAGTCAGATAGATAGATAGATAAATAAAAGTGTCTGACGTTTTAACATATAAGTATCTTAGTATTTTTCTATCAATTTTATTAACGATATATGATTAAAGTTTAAATTTTAGTTTGCGATATAAATAAGAAAAATGGTGTTTTTTAGCTTAAATGGTTCGGTTTTAAACCTAGGTTTTTTTTTCAACCTAAATTTTACGTTAAAATGGATGGTTTTTGGTCTAAGGTTTTGTCCCAATTAATTATCTATTCGGGAGTGCTTCTACCAAAACCAGACCAGGATCCCACCCGTTGACAGCCCTATCTTGAATGGCGGCCAATTTCTGTTCGAGCTACCAGTCAAAGCAGGTCGAGAAATAGTCACCACTTATCCGAAGGAATTAAAAGAAAATGGAAGTCCTTTAAACAAGGGATGTGTCAGATATACTTATATTATCAACGGAAAGCGGAAACAATAGTATGGCGCGATATAGTCTGAATGCCCTCCCTACGCATTTAACCAGAGGAGTCCAAAACTACGCATTTAACCAGAGCGAATTAGAAAGCCAAACACCATGAAAGAATAGCGGAAACAATAGGAACGCCCCGAGGATTCGAGCATTCTCTGTGCCTGCACCCATAAGACCCAAGGATATTATAGCCACTGCCACGACCAACAAACCTTGTCTTCCAAAAATGATATAATTTAGGTATGCAGACATTGTACAAAAAACGCATACCTGTACTGCTTCCGCATCCGCATCGCTTCCGAGTCTCCTTTGCGCTCACGCCCTTCACCTGTCAAAAATATCTAATCAGGAACAGGTGGACGAGAAATAGTATACAAGTCAATATAGAAGAAGATGGTTAGAGTGGCTTATTCTGTACTCCAGCATATGGAAGGCCTCGGCGGACTAATGCTCCAATTCGAACATTTGAATCAGCTCCAGTGACGCAATCTCATGGAACTGGCGATGCCTGTAGAAGCCAAGGGGAGTATTAGAAAATTAAAAGATGTTACAACCACAAAAAACGACAATAAAGCAAGAGAAGCCCTTATAAAAAGTACCAACAGATATAACCAATGGTGCTTACCCTATGG